ATTGCTGCACTCGCCCAACGGACGTTTCGTAGCAGTTTGTGGTGATGGTGAATACATCATCTACACTGCGCTTGCTCTTCGTAACCAAGCTTTCGGCAGCGCTCTCGACTTCTGCTGGGCCTCGAAAGAACACGACAAGGACTACGCCATCCGGGAATCCTCTACCAGCGTCAAGATCTTCCGCAACTTCAAGGAGCGGAGTGTACTGAATGTTGGCTTCTCGGCTGACGGCTTGAGTGGTGGCGTGCTTCTGGGAGTGAAGGGTCAAGGCGGTATCGGCCTATTCGACTGGGACTCTGGCGCCTTGGTTCGACGGATAGAGGTCGAGCCCAAGAGCGTCTACTGGTCTGAGAGCGGGGAACTCGTGACGCTTGCCACGGAAGACACATTCTATGTCCTTCGCTACTCTAGGGAGAACTACCTGGAAGCCGTGCAAAACGGTGAAGTGGACGAGGACGGTGCCGAGTCTGCATTCGAAGTTGTGTGCGACATCAACGAGAGGTACGTTGTAAGAAGCCATTACCGAATCCACAAGCTAATGACAAACAGCGTTCGTACCGGTACCTGGGTTGGAGATTGCTTCATCTACACAAACAGCACAAATCGCCTGAACTACCTTGTCGGCGATCAAACGTACACCATTTCCCACTTCGACTCGCCTCACTACGTCCTTGGATATCTACCTCGTGATTCCAGAATCTATGTCGCTGATAAGGATGTCAATGTGGTCTCCTTCGCGCTGTCTCTGGCTGTCGTTGAGTACCAGACACTTATCCTCCGAGGTGATTTTGAAGCCGCCGAGGAGACCCTTCCCTCTGTGCCCAAGGATCAGAATAACAAGATTGCTCGATTCTTGGAAGGTCAGGGCCAGAAGGAAATGGCGCTCAAGGTTGCCACCGATCCCGAACACCGATTCGATCTCGCTTTGTCCCTTGGAGATCTGGAACAGGCTGTTACAATTGCTCGTGAGCAGGACACAGAGCATAAGTGGAAGACTGTCGGTGATGCTGCTCTTACAAACTGGGATGTCAAGCTCGCGCAAGAATGCTTCGTCAAGGCCAAGGACCTTGGTTCGCTTCTCCTCCTCTACAGCGCAACTTCGGATGCCGCTGGCCTCCGGGAACTCGCTTCTCTGGCCGAGAACGCTACCGCAAACAATGTAGCCTTCTCTGCGCTCTGGCAAATCGGCGATGTCCAGGCGTGCATCGACCTGCTCGTCAAGACCAACCGCCTCGCCGAGGCTGTTCTCTTCTCACAAACGTACAAGCCAAGCGCTACCGCTGGACTTGTCAAGCAATGGAAGGAGTCCCTGGAGAAGGAGAACAAGACCAAGGTTGCTAGACTCCTTGGCACGCCGCCTCAGGACGGTGAGGGAGATGCAGAGATGTTCCCCGAATGGGATGAGTACCTGCGGTTGGAGAAAGAAGGCGGAACGGTGGAAGACCTTTTGATCCAAGAAGACGAAGTAGAGGCGGATGATGCCGATGAGGAGATTGCAGCCGATGCTGAAGAAGATGACGAGGAAGAAGACGAAGACGAGGAAGAGAGCGAGGAAAGTGAGGAGGAGAAGTAGGCGTCTGCATCAAGCGTTGTTTTGCTTGGCGGATCCGTTGTAGCTGCAGTTTGACTTTGGATGTGTGGCTGCTCCACGTAGCGTAGGTACGGTAACGGAAAACGATACAATGATACAGATGTTTCAAATATGTGTTATCCAAAGTTGTGATTTGATATATTGTAGCATGATGTGACGTTATATCACGTCCCTTCGTTAAATCTATGCCTAGCCCACAGAAACGCCACCCATATGTACGTTTGTCTTGTCTTCGTGATATTCCAACATATACAAACATTTTACAAGGCCATACTGATATTCAATGGCAGCGTTGTCATTACTGTACGACAGCCTCGTTGGTCGCGCCCTGGTATGCCGAGTCGCGGAATCTCTCCTCACCACTAGCTGTGCTGTCGCTGCTGCTCGCTTCCTCGGACTCTTCGGAAGTGGTGTGAACTCGACTTCTTACGCGCGCATTCATCTCCTCACGTGTATCGTCCACCGTCTCCATCTCGCGCAGCCCCTTTCCCCGACCGAAGAAGTCTTCTGTCCTCAGTCCACGGACGTCGCCCTGTGCCATCCCTTTACTGCTCCTCAGCGTGCCGTCTGCCTTCTTTCTCCTGATGTACTCCCGCACTGGCCCCATGGCCGCATCTCTACACGCCTCCTTGATGTCCGAACCGCTCATGCCAGCCGAGACGCGGACTAGGTAGTTTAGATCAAAGTTCTGGTGGTCGATTTTGGTGCCGCGTAGGATCAGAGAGAAGATGTTGTGACGCTGTGTGGCTGAAGGGAGTGCGACGGGGAACTTCTTGGGCATGCGGCGGAGAATGGCTTCGTCAATATCTTGGATGCGGTTCGTGGCGCCGAGGATGCATATTCGCTGGGGGGTCGATGTGCCCGAGGAGGTGCTGGATGCGAGGCCGTCCCAGTGGGTCATGAATCTAGGTATTGTCAGTCCTACTTTCGTCGCAAGTGGAGTGGGACGGTATTGAGACGTACTCAGCTTTCACCATTCCGCTGGCCTCGTGTTCTCCGCTTCTTCTTTGTCCCAAGACTGCGTCAATCTCGTCGATGAAGACGATACTTGGCTGTAGCTTCCTCGCCAGACTGAAGACGGCGTTGACGAGCTTGTTGCTGTCGCCGTACCATTTCTCCGTTAACGTCGAGATGTGTAGGTTGATGAAGCAGGCGCCGGATTCGTGCGCGAGGGCTTTTGCGAGCATAGTCTTTCCGCAGCCGGGAGGGCCATAGAGGAGGACACCGCTGGGTGCGCTGAGGAGCGAGGAAGAGTGCGAGTAGAGGTGGGGCATGGTCAGAGGGTAGATGACGGATTCTTTGAGCTCCTCAATGATAGAGTCGAGGCCGCCAATATCTGGAATGTGTCAGCGTTGCATTGCGACCCAGGCCTCCAGTAGGCCAATTCGCGCGCACTCATGCGCATGTTTCTACAGCCCATGGCTCAAGCCCGAACGAATTTGTGACGTACCCTCGAAGCTCACGGGAATCTCCTCGGGCGCAACCACCTCCATGGCAATCGTCTGCTCGTAGGTATTCAGATTGAGATCCTGTATCCTGGGCCGTCTGTGCCTCGACTCTGTGTCTTCCTCATCTTCACTGTCGTATTCGCCGTAGCTTTTCCGCCGCTTGCTTGTAAGGATGGCGTCGAGTTTACGTGTGGCAGCTGAGGCTTTGGCGCGGGCCTCTTCTTTTTGTTGAGCTTCCGGGTCGAGGCGTGTGAGGAGGTTGCGAATTACGAAGTAGGCTATTAGTGGCTACGGGGATATGAGCATGTAGTCGGCAAGGCAGTGAGGGGCACAGTGGGTGTGGGGAGACTGTGGCGCGTTGGTGGATATAGACGTACTGCTGCAGCTGCCATGAGGATATCTGGGAGATAGCCCGTAAGGCTGCTCTTCTTATTTGCGCTCATGCTCGCTTGGCTGCACTTTCACCAGTGCGCTCGTCTCTGGAGATAGCGTGGGTTTGTGCTCAAAGAGCGAATGTTGGGTCGGGAGGTTGATAGAGCGTGCGGTGTCCGTACCAAAAGTAGGGACCGATGCAGGAACCGGGCCGCGGCTGCGGCGACCTCAAGCCCGGCGTCACACGAGCTCCGCTCCGCATCCTTGGATCGCATCACATCGCATGCCTTCAACGTCACTCTTCACTCGCACGCATAGTCACAATGGCCGCCGTATACAAGCCTACCGAAGCCATCGCGCTCATTCGACCAACATTCGTCTTACCGCGCATCCGGGCCTCAAATCGCAGAGCGCATATCGGGCGCATCGCCTTCTCCACCACCCACCATGCACAAGCCACGCATACGTCGACGACCAGTCCGACGCCAAAACCGCAAAGAAAGTCGATTTCTTTGACCGGCGACACCGGCCAAGTCCGATGGTCTGATCTGTCACCGGGCGAGAAGGCAGTGCGGACCACCCAGCAGAGCTTCAACTTTGTAGTGGTCCTGGTGGGCATAGTAGCAACTGTACAGCTTCCCCTCACCGAGTCCACTTTTGGAAGCGCAAGGCTAACCACTCTACCAGGGCGGCGTGGGCTACTTCCTCTTCTCCGATGTCTTCAGTCCCTCCTCCAAGACTGCCTACTTCAACCGCGCAACAACACTTATACGTCAGGACCCCCGATGTCAAAAACTACTGGGTCCAGGCGCCGAAATTGCAGCTTTTGGTGAAGGCTCTTGGTCGCGATGGGCGCGCAATCGCTACCTCAGCAGTACCGAAGAGACTGACAAGTGGGGCACTGAGCATCTGCGCTTCAGATTCTTTGTCGAGGGGCCGTTGGGACAGGGCGTGGTACATGTACATTTGACCAAGAGACCAAGTCAAAATGACTACGACTACGAGACGCTTGCTGTGGATGTAAAGGGTCATCAGAGGATTGATCTGATTTCCGAGCACAAGAAGGACAAGGTTGCGCCCAAGATTTTTGGCGCGCGGTGGTGGTGAAGACAAATCTCACAGCTCTTCGCAATGGGCTCTGGTGGTCGAGTAGCCATACATCCCTCCAATCAAACCTTTAAATTCTCGCTGCTGAACAGGCAGTTCGTGTCAGCCAATATGCAATTTGTTTTTCCATCCTCAAACGGGCCTTCCCGATGCGCACAGATATGAGAACAGAGCAGGGGCAAGGTAGAAACCTGTGTGCTAGCGCACCACGGACTACACACGACTCTCTTCCCCTGCCCGGGCAAACTTTGTCAGCAAGATTGGGCCAAACCACTGCATTTTGTTTGTGCTTGCTCTAATTGTTTTGCTTCTAGATCCATCAAAATACGTCACACGAGGCTGACAAAAACCATGTGACCCCTCCAGCATCAGCCATCAAATCCAACTTGACCACGTTCACATATGCACGCTACGACCTTGTGCATCGCCCCCCTAAACCCTGACCCAGAAGCATCGTTTCTTGAGCCCAAACATCAACCACAATGCCCGTGTCCATATCCCCAGCCCAGCCCAAAGATGCAGTCGACATCGCCGCCCTACATGTCCAAGCGTTCAGCTCCAACGCCCTCATGCGAGCCATCTACCCCACCCCTGCTATATGGGCAGCACTTCAGGGCTGCGTCGAAGAAAAAGTCTTAGCTGACATGAAGGAGCCCAAAATTACAGTCCTAGTCGCCAAACACACGGACGAGGCTGAAGTGAGGGAAGAGCAAGGTAAGACTGTAGGCTATGCCGTGTGGTGCCATCCGATCAAGGCCGAAGAGCAGGACTGGAAACTACCAACTTGGAAGTTGCCGGAGGGCACTGATTGGAATGTGTTGAAGCCTTGGTTAGCGGCCGCTGGAAAGACTGTGGAGGAAGTCATTGGGCATACGCCGCATTATGGTAGGTGGTGGTGTTACGTGCTTCTGCATGACCCGAGATGCGGACTAACTGGAGGTCTAGATCTTATGTGGCTCGCTGTATCACCTGATTATTCTCGAATGGGTATTGGTACCTTGCTACTGCGTTGGGGCATGGACTTGTGCGAGAAGGAAGGGGTGCCTGTGTATTTGGACAGTACCGTTGAAGCTGCGCAGACGTTTTATCAGAAAGCGGGCTTCATAGAGAGGGGTAGAATCAGGTTGGTAGTTAATGAGGAGATGTACGAGGAGGTCGCTTTTGTGTACGAGCCCAAGCGATAGACGATACCAGAAATGATAATCGCAGAATTGCTATGAAGATGAATAGTCCTGACCGCTTTTTTCCAGCCTACGTCCAAGTCTCGTGTGCTCAGGCCGCATTTCCAGACCGTTCAAAATGAGTGACCCAGTTCCCTTCTCGCAAGCATACTCACGATCTCTTTGGTTAGCATCGTCGTCATGGCCAGGTCAGGATCATGATCTGGATTGACCTCTGCGATGGACAGTCCAACGACATCGGTGCTAGCCATGAGTACTGTCAGGGCTTGCATCATCGTCTGAAATGCCACACCTGTAAAGTTTGGGACATTTGCCAGCGGGAATTCGCCTGGATCAATGGAGTCAATATCAAGATGGACCCAGATAGCCTCAACCTTGTTCTGCTCAAGGTGCTCCAATGCTTCGTTTGCACGTCCTTCCGGATGGTTTGCCACCGCTTCTGACGAGATGACTTTGAAGTGCTCGTCGTTCAGATATGCTAGGTGCTTCGGCTTGTTCCCCGGGTGGGGAAGGTTTGTGCCAAAGAAAACTGTGTTGGTACTATCGCAGAGCTTCTCACGAGCGAGTACAGGGTCTCGTGTGCCTTCCGACTCATCACTAATTGCCCCGGGCCGCGCCATGAGCTGCGTCATCGTCTGCAGATGAAGTGTACGAAGTCAGTGTTTGGCTCACGTTCCTCTTGCGTCTGAAGTTTGCTCACCATGCTTGCAAAGTAGCCCTTCCAATCGTCGTCCAAAGGTGAGTGCAGATCAGTGTCTGCGTCGATATAGATGAGACCAATAGTAGAGTCTTGGTACTCTTGCTTGACAGAGGAAAGAATGGCTGGCAGCATGCAGCACTCGCCCCCAAGAACTAGCTGGAATGCTCTGGGCTCCGCCTGGAAGTTCACGGTCACCTTCTTTCGCACTCTGCGAAGGAGCTCCAGATTACCCGTCCTGTTGCGGATATTGCCTGGTACGAAGGGGCTGGGCTTGTAGGTCACCTCTGCGTCGAGCACGTCCGGTCCCGGGGCCGGGCCATCGCTGTCGGGGAATTGACTTGGGTCGATGTCAATAACGTTTACGCCCGCTTCGACCAGTCTGCGGTAGATGTCGACCGTTTTGAAAGCCGCAGCCGCCCTGGACTTCCCTGGTATGATGGAGCCGCAGTCGGCAGCCACGTACGTTACGCATGTCTTTCGCGACTGGTCCATTGTCGTGCTTTGTTATGCAACTGAGATCGAAAAAGCGTGATTGGAGTATTTACACAAATGTAATGACTGGTCTTCACTGTAGGCGGGGAAGGATGAATCTACACTGACATGTTGCTTATAGGGCGTGCATGCTGGAGTCTGACTACTCTGGCAGCGACATGACCGCAACCAGCTCACCTATTCTCACATTCCACTGTGAGTTGATTCGTTCCCTTAGTCAACATGTCACCTAGGCCTTGGCGTAAGCTGGCGTGAGTCTGCTTCCAATGATGCCTGGCGACGCCGGTGCCACCTTGCAAAGGCGCGGTGACTGTATGCTACAAGCAAGCTTCTTGCGTCGGCTCAGCGGGAGAGCGAGTGACGATGTTAATGTATCCCTGGAAGGTACAAAGGAAGTGTCATGGATGGTCGCGGCTCATGAACCCGACACGCGTCATGGTGGGAACTTGATGAGCGACAGCGGGTACTTGCTTGTGAAGATTGCAAACGAGGTGTATGCCAGCACATGAAGGTATATACCGGATGGTGCTGCTAGCTCAAACATGGGCTGAAGCCAATGTCGCATTCGCACAACCTCGCATTCGTCAAACGACGATAAATTTTCAGCCACCATGACTCGACGCAGCACCAAAGAACAGAGGAATTGAGTGCACGCTTATGCGCACGCCCCATGGGGATTGACATGTTGAGTCGGGGATGCGCGCCATGCTTTAGCAGCTGATGCAAAGATCCATATTTCAAAGATGGCACGGATAGAGCGGGCGTGGTCTAGTCACGCAACGGGCCAATGGCAGCGAATCCTTGACACATTCGCAGCTCTCGCACGTTGGCGTTGCATCATGGCTCACACAGTCACGACGCGTTTGGGCTCCAGTTTGCAACTTTGCTTCCCATTTCGGCGACCCCTTTGATCGCTTCTACCCGCCGGCCCTGTGTTTCGGATCCACAGCCAGGTCGCGACCGAACGCAAATGTATTTTGGGTTGCGGTCCGAGGACCATTACGCACAGCAAAGTGCCGGACCTTCGTAGCCGGAGTACTCAAAGTCTCATGGCGCCTCCAACGTGGCGGTCGTCTTCATCTCTTCTTCTTCTTTTTCCATAAGCACAGCAACCGCACAGCGCCCCCCTCTCCTACGCAGCACCCGCCGCAATGGAGCCCTCGACCACCAACTCGTCGGAGCACACGCACGTCGACTCGCACGAGATGCAGCAGATGCCGCCCACGTACCCCTCGCCCTCGATGCAGCCCGAGCAAGCAACCGGCAAGACGCGGGTCAGGTTCAACAGCTCGGCCAACGTCGAAGTCCCTGCGCCCCTAGAACACGTCCAGAGCTACACCCGCATCAGCGAATCCGGGTCGAATGAAATCACCACCAACGAGCACGCCACCGACGCCGAAGAGCTCTGGAATGCATACCACACCGGCCAGCAAAGCCACAACGCGCCGCCGGTGAGCGAAGTGGATCCCGAGGGCGCCTACACTGTCACCGGCAACACCAACGGCGGCATCTTCTACCAGCTCCTGCAAGCCTACAAGCAACCGGTGCGCGGTTATACCGATACATCCTCCGAAGCCAGCGAGACATCACCCACACAGAGGTCGCGACCTGGCTCTTCTTCAGGACCCAGCACCCCATCCAAGAAGAAATGGTACAACGCAAACAAGCCAATGCAGTCAACAGAGACGCTGGCGACTCTCGTTGGCGCTTCAGCCAAGCTGGCAAACCCCAAGGATGACAAGAAAGATGCCGCTATGCGCCCGCGCCATCACAAGCGCAGCAGCAGTGGAGGAATCATTGCCAAGGTGTTGAAGCCAAAGGAAGACCAGGATGCCAAGATCAAGATACACGTTGCAAACATCCTCAAGCGACAGCAGTACATCATCCGCATGTGCCGCGCTCTCATGCTCTTTGGCGCACCCACACATCGCCTCGAAGAGTACCTTGCGACAACGGCCAAGGTCCTTGAGATCAACTCCCAATTCCTCTACATCCCCGGGTGTATGATCATCTCCTTCGATGACAGCATGACCCACACCGCTGAAGTCAAGATCGTTCGCACCGATCAAGGCGTCAACCTCGGCAAGCTGAAGGACACTCACGACATCTACAAGGAGGTTTTGCACGACGTCATCAGCTTGGACGAGGCTCTTGCCCGCTTGGACGAGGTCATCAACGCAAAGGATCGCCATCCACGTTGGCTGACTGTCCTCATGTACGGTCTTGCTAGTGCGGCAGTCTCTTGCTTCTTCAAGGCCCGCCCCATCGACATGCCCGTCATCTTCGTACTCGGCATTGTCCTCGGGCTGCTCCAGCTTGTCATCGCTCCGCTGTCCAAGACATACAGCACTGTCTTCGAAATCACTGCGACTATCCTCATGAGCTTCCTTGCGCGGGCGTTTGGTAGCATCAACAACGGGAACCTCTTCTGTTTCTCGGCCATTGCACAGAGCGCCATCGCTCTAATCCTTCCCGGATGGTTGGTGCTCAGCTCGGCCCTGGAGCTCCAGTCTCGTGCTATCGTACCGGGATCTATCCGCCTTGTCTTCGCCATCATCTACTCGCTCTTTCTCGGATACGGCATCACTGTCGGCACAGCTATATACGGTGCGATAGACTCCAACGCCACCAATTCGACCCAGTGCCAGGATCCAATGAACCCATACTGGAACTTCCTCATGGTCCCACTCTACGTCTTCTTCACGACCTTCACGGTACAGGCCAAGTACAAGCAGATGCCGGCTATGATAACCATCGCGTTTGCTGGCTACATTGTCAACTTCTACGCTGGCCTGAAGTTTTCCTCATCTGCCCCCATCGCCTATACATTTGGCGCCTTCACTATTGGCGTGTTGGCAAACTTGTACAGCCGATTACGTCATGGAGTTGCAGCTGCCGTCCTCCTACCTGCAGTATACGTCCAAGTTCCGGGCTCTCTTGCGTCGAGTGGCAGTATCAACTCTGCCCTACGAACAGCATCAGCTCTGATCAAGGGCGCAGAGACATCGACCGACGTCAGCAATCCTTCATCTCGCTACGAAAACATTACTGACGTAGCGCAGACCACCACCGACAGCCTCAATGCCATCGTCTTCAATGTCGCTGCGTCCATGATCCAGATTGCTATCGGCATCACTGTCGGGTTGTTCATGGCTGCCCTTCTGGTCTACCCCATGGGCAAACGACGCAGCGGTCTTTGGACACTCTAAAGTATACATTCTAATATTTTCTGTCATGCATAGCGATATGGCGTTATAGCGACCCAAAATGGGAGGAGTTTGGGACATCTACCTGCTAATGATCTATAGTACTCGAACACCAAGATGTTCAACTTCAATGACCCACATGGAGATGAGTGGTGTCGAGGTGAAATGTGAAGGTAAGCCCCATTGCAACACGAGCGACTCTATCCGAAGCAGTTGTCGACTCGCCTTGCGACAACCAGTTCCAAGCAGCAAGCCGTTGCGACCACTCCACATTGGTTTCCATGCGACATCCGGACCACGCAGCCCTCGCCGGATTTGGACTTCCACAGCGACCAACCTACGCAGCATTGGCCCTAGCAAAACATCCCAAAGAACACCATCATCCGCCTGGTTCCACTGCAACCCATCGCCGGATTTAGACCTTGCGCCCAAGCCTCCCATCGGTCAACTTCTGCTCCATGCACCTACTCCCTTTCACGGCACACGATATCTCACCTATACCTCCGCGCCCACTCGTCCTGTTGTGATGCTTCGCTTATGATTGCGAGCCTCGCACAGGTTGATGGCACCATGCACTGCGTAAACGCCCTGATGTTGATACCCCA